CTGGCACTTGCAATGCTTTGAATGCCAAAGGATGCTTCTCTACAGCCTATGCACCTCAATAGTGTCACGAGCTCTAAGTCCAGTCTAATACTTTACATTGTCTATGGTGTTAACATAAACACAGACATGTCTGTCTGACTCAGCAAGCGCGATGCTGCCCGTTGTCTCCTGGTAATGAGCAAGTTGTTAAACACCGAGTATTGGTTTCGTAGCTCTGTTATCCGGTTTCCATCTGCACATTGACAAGAACAACATCAACACCAACTTGTATTTAGATAGCGTCCCCGCAAACAAGATAGCGTCCCAGAGCGATTAACATTGACGTAGAAGGACAGCAAGACACAGTGCTTACCTCCACTGCTGGCTCTTACTTTATTCCCAACAATTATACGCTATATTCAATGACATTCATGTCCACTTACGTCTCTTGTGCAGACAGAATCCCATTATAAACACAATGATCGCTAACGCAGTGACAATTCCCGCAGCCAGTACTGCAGTGTGCATCCCGGTCCAGGTTTCTAGAGGGAAAATGCACAAATAGTAATTTTTCGACTTTGAAGAGCTAATATGGGGGAGAAACTCATCATTGTAAAGACGTCACTTAGGTTTTATCTCCTCCTGAAGTGAAAGTGCGATAGAAAGTCATTTTTCTCTGTTTCAATGAAAATAGCTTATGTTTTCCTAGTCTGTGCTCATGAGGCAAGCCTCTCGCCCCCTGACCATGTGCAGTGGGAGCTTAGCAGGGTCTCTTTGAAGGATGCGCTGGTCACCTGCCGAACTGTGGAAGACCGGATTAGAGTATAACCTTGATGGTGGTCTCCAGTCCGGGTCTGCAGTATTCCAGGGCTCAGGTGATGACAGCACGGCCCGGACTGGTGCTCATCGGCAAGAGGCTGAGGAACAGATCGATCACTGGAAGCCGCGATTCTTCCACCTCAGTTCCCAAGAATACCTCAAGATAGTGTGCGCATTTTTGGTGGTCCTCGCTGGACAAGAAGGGGTTGTGTACCCGATTGTAGTCAATGATGGTTAAATATCAGACGTTATGTAACAGCAGGATCTGCGTTGGCCAACGCTCGTCTCATGGAACAGTACAATACACCTTAAAGTGGTGATGATTAGAACAGCAAGAGCCTCTCTCCCGCTGGGAAAAGGAGAGAGGGTTTCCATCCCGGACGTGCCGTGTGGGGATCACTCGGGAATTCGGGTTTGGAAAATATTTTACCGCAGGGATGGGTTTCCTCCCGGGGTCAAACACTCCAGCCATCACTCGGAGATAACATGGAAATACGATCGATGGTGCAAAGAGTGGTTATAACAGGAGCTGCTGTAAATGGTCAAAACACAAACGGGTTATGGTGTGAGATTTTACTGAGCTCTTACCCGACACAGAGATTCCCAATCGCTCGCTCTCCGGTGATGTGAACACTCGGCCGTCTATAACAGTAGTATAGTTACAGGTGTAGTTTCCTGCACTGATCTCGGATATGGTGAATATTGCTGTCTTGTTATTCTCTGGAGCTGTTTGTGATATGATAAACTCGCCGTCTCTGTATAAAGAGAAATCGCTGCTAACATAATTGCCAGAACATGAGATCTCAGCGCTTTTCCCTCTCACAAACTCCCGGGAATTTGGCTTCAGAGAAATGTTGGGTTTCTGGAGCGGATCTGGAATTAAAACACAGTCAATATAATCTCACAAGGCTCGCTATGTGATATGAAGACAGTTCAGATCAGAGTAAAAATAAACATTTGCTTGTTTCCCAGCCTGGAGAGGTGTCAGGACACGGGTGAGGAGATGAGGGGAAGGTTCAGGACAGAACCCAGCAAGTGTTTCTTTACACAGAGAGAGCGGGAGTGACGGCTGGGAATGGGGTGGACAAGGATGGCGGTGAGGCCGCGGACTGGGGTAACACACAGCTCCAGCCTGGGACGGGAGAACGCGAATTCAATCTGAAATTCTTGTGTGATCTTCAGATGTTTTATAAACAACAGTATAAGATCACATCAGGGGATCAAACAGAGAATTCAAGAGCAACAACTTCACACAGAATAAGGTGGTGGGACTCACTGCCTAAAGTGGGGGTGCAATCAGACAGCGCAGATGCATTCAAGAGGAAGCCAGACATTTGCAGGAGGGAGAGGGAAATAGAGGCTCTGGGAGGCAGCGAACATGTGGGAGGGAGTTTATAGGAGGGATGTAGCAAGAGACGGTGTGAGAGGAATGGAGAGGTTAATAAAGGGTACAGAGGGAGTGGGTTAGAGGGGAATAGAAGGTGTGGGAGGAAGTTAGGAATATATGGTGTGAGAGGGAGGGAGTGAGGAATAGAGGGTTGGTTGGAAGAGTGTGGGATGGAGTGAGGAAAAAAGGATGTGAGGGGGAAGAAGAGGGTCAGGGGAGAAGGGAGGGAAGGATGAATAGAGGTGTGGGGAAGAAAAGAGGGTGAGGGGACGAGGGAGGAAGGGATGAATCGAGGATTTAGAGGGAAGGAGGAACGGGGAGAGACTCGTGTCACAGAGCGGGTGGAACGAGAGGCATTATTTAATTGATTAAGAGGAAGGAGGAAGGGGGAGGAGGGGAGAGTGGAGTTTCCTGTGACCGCTTTTATTGGACCAAGTGGACAGCGAGTGACCATTTGTGAGAGAGTCCAGACCCTCGCACTTACCCCGCACAGTGATGGCCACTCGCTCGCTCTCTGGTGATGTGAGCTCTCGGCCGCCCACGAGTGTAGTATATTTACACCAGTGACTTCCTGCTCTGATCTCCGATGGGGGGAACGTGGCCGCGTTGCTATTCCCTGGAGCTGTTTTTGATATGATAGACTCGCCGTCTCTGTATAACTGGAAGTTGCTGCCACGATAATTCCCTGAACACGAGATCTGAGCCATTTCCCCTCTCACAAACACTCGGGAATTTGGCTCCAGGGAAATGGTGGGTTTCTGGAGCGCATCTGCAATAAAAACACAGTCAATATAGACACACAATCACTCGCTGTGATCTGTGCTGTGACGTTCAATATCAGGGTGGACAGTCAGCCCGGCCTCAACCTGGGAGACTGAGCTGGGGGTCAGTGTGAGCTCGGGGTCGGTGTGAGCTGGGGGTCAGTGTGAGCTCGGGGTCAGTGTGAGCTCGGGGTCAGTGTGAGCTTGGGGTCAGTGTGAGCTCGGGGTCACTGTGAGCTCGGGGTCAGTGTGAGCTCGGGGTCAGAGTGAGCTCGGGGTCAGTCTGAGCTGGGGGTCAGTGTGAGCTCGGGCTCAGTGTGAGCTCTGGGTCAGTGTGAGCTCTGGGTCAGTGAGATCTCGGGGTCAGTGTGAGCTGGTGGTCAGTGTGAGCTCTGGGTCTGTGTGAGCTGGGGGTCAGTGTGAGCTGGGGGACAGTGTGAGCTCGGGGTCAGTGTGAGCTGGGGGTCACTGTGAGCTCGGGGTCAGTGTGAGCTCGGGGTCAGAGTGAGCTCGGGGTCAGTGTGAGCTGGGGGTCAGTGTGAGCTCGGGCTCAGTGTGAGCTCTGGGTCAGTGTGAGCTGGGGTCAGTGTGAGCTCTGGGTCAGTGTGAGCTGGGTGTCAGTGTGAGCTCCGGTTCAGTGTGAACTCGAGGTCAGTGTGAGCTCGGGTCAGTGTGAGCTGGGTATCAGTGTGAGCTGGGGGTCAGTGTGAGCTGGGGGTCAGTGTGAGCTTAGGGTCAGTGTGAGCGCGGGGTCAGTGTGCGCTGTGGGTCAGTGTGAGCTGTGGGTCAGTGTGAGCTCGGGGTCAGTGTGAGCTCGGGGTCAATGTGAGCTGTCACCTATGCTCAGACCCTCACCCTGTGCTCAGTCCTTCCCCCTGTGGACAGACCCTCCCGCTATGTTCAGCCCCTCCCCTTGTGCTCAGCCCCACACAATGTGCTCAGCACCTAACCCTTGTGCTCTGCCCTTCCACTTGTGCGCAGTCCCACCCACTGTACTCAGCTCCTCCACAGTGCTCAACTCCTCCCACTATGCTCAGACCCACCCCCTGTGCTCAGCTCCCCACTGTGCTCAACTCCTCCCCCTGTGCTCAGCCCCTCCCCCTATGCTCAGCCCATCCCGCTGTACTCAACCGGCTTTCCTCAACGCACCCCCCATCATCCACCCCCACCACCCGTGCTCACCACTGTGCTCACCCACCACCTACATCACCTTGTTCTCAAACTCCCTCCCTGTGCTCACCCCTCCCCCGTGTGCTCACCCCCACTGTGCTCACCCCTCCCCCGTGTGCTCACCCCCACTGTGCTCACCGCTCCCCGGTGTGCTCAGCCCAACTGTGCTCACCCCTCCCCCGTATGCTCACCCACACTGTGCTCACCCCTCCCCCGTGTGCTTACCCCCACTGTGCTCAACCTTCCCCCGTGTGCTCACCCCCACTGTGTGCACCCCTCCCCCGTGTGGTCAGCCCCACTGTGCTCACCCGTCCCGCGTGTGATCACACCCATTGTGTTCAGTCCCCCGTTTTAAACCTGTTGTGCCCCACCTATGTTGAACCCACTGTACCCCCTTTTGCTCTGTGCCCCTTGACTCACACCCCTCCGCATCGGGCTCACCCACTCTTTGGCACCACGTACTCAGACCTTGTGCTCACCAACCCTACGCTCAACTCCACTGTGCTCATCCCCCTGTGTTCCCACAGTGCTTACACCCTGATGTTACACCCAGAGCTCAACCCTTCCCGTTTTCACCGCCCCATTTGCTCCCTTCCACCACTTGCTCCCTTCCGCGCTCCCCCCAACCCACACCGTGGTCACCCCAACCCACCCACTCCGAGACCGAGGTAATGATCAGAGGCAGACAGAGTTACCTGAGCAGATGAATCTGCCATCATAGGAGTGTAACCAGGGTCTGTGATCCCAGGCCCATTGGCATTCCTCCCTCACACCCTCCCAGTTTTAATAATAAACTGACAGATTGTGGGATAGAGACTTGATCAGAGTTTCTCACACTGCGTTTTACCCAAAACATGAGAAGCGAAAAATGATCATAGAATGAATTATTTACCTGAACATATGACACCGGCATCAGCGGAGTATGACACCGCGGAATAGTGACCCCAGGTTCCTGGACAATCCCTCAGAGCAGACTCGCTCCCACTGCACCGAACATCATACACGACAACGGAACCTGAGCCTTTCCCAAACTGAGCCACTGGTGCCGACAGCGCTGCTCCACAGCCCAACTCCTCACACACCACAGCCGCGTCCTTCATATCCCAACCATAGTCCTGAGAGCCATAGCCATACACTGTGCCCCTCTGTCCTCCATAGTAAACCTCCACTGTCCCGGCACACGGGCTGCCGCCATTCACCAGCCGCACACTCACACTCCCTGTAAAACATCACACATAGTGTTAGTAGTCTGTTACCCGTTTGACTTCCAGTCACACAGGATATTACCATACAATGTACATGTACAGAGCGTCTGTCACAGTGGGACGGTGTCTGGGGGTAAGCAATTCAACATCAATGGTAAACACAGTGACGTTTTAATAATAATTATCCTTGCATTTGATATAGCGCTTTTCGCTTCCCTGCGCTCTCCCCCAAACCTGTGCTCACCCCCACCCCTGTGCTCAACTCCCTGTATTCTGTCCCAGTCCGCACCCACCTGTGTTCAACACCCTGTGTCCCCAGTTTGCTCCCCCACTGTGCCCCCACTTTGCCCCTCAGCTGTTCAACCAACAGTTTTACCCTCCTCTGCTCCTCCCGTTCCCCACTGTCCTCAAGCCACTTTATGGTCTCCTGTGCCCCCCTACCCATGCTCCCCACAATATATTCACCCCGTTGTGCTGACACCCCCTTGTGCACAACACTCCCCCCACTCTCGTGCTCACCTCACCCTGTGCTCAACACCCAATCTCACCCCCGCTTTGTTCAACCCCCTGTGCTCACCCCCACCTATGCTCAAACCACCTTTGCTAACCACCCATGTGCTCACCCCTAAGCTCATCCTCCTCTGCTCAACCACCATGTGCTCCCCACTCCTCCTGTGCTCCCCACAGTCCTCACCCTTCCACCTGGGCTCAAACCCCGATATCAACTCCCCTTTGCTCATCCGCCTACGTCTGCTTAGCCCACAGTGCACCCCCACTGTGCTCCCAAATCTGCGCTACAACCCTCACTGTGCTCAACCGGCTTTTCTCAACGCACACGCCACCCCCACCACCCGAGCTCACAACTGTGCTCGCCCACTTGTACCTAAATCACATTGTGTTCAAAGACCCTCCCTGTGTTCACCCCTCCTTTTGTGGTCCATCCGCGCACAACCAACCGCCACCCCCGTGCTCCCCCCTCCCCCGGGTGTTTACCCCCACTGTGCTCACCAATCCCCCATGTGCTCACCCCCACTGTGCTCACCCCTCCCCCGTGTGCTGACCCCCACTGTGTTCACCCCTCCCACGTGTGCTCACCCCCCACTGTGCTAACCCCTCCCCTGTGTGCTCCCCACCACTGTGCTCACCCCTCCCCCATGTGCTCACCCCACTGTGATCGCCCCTCCACCGTGTACTCACCCCCACTGTGCTCACCCCGCCCGCGTGTGCTCACCCCCACTGTGCTCATTCCCCCGTTTTAAACCTCTTGTGCCCCACCTATGTTCAACCCACTGTACCCCCTTTTGCTCTGTGTCCCTTGACTCACACCGCTCCCCCTCAGGCTCACCCATTCTGCGCCACCACGTAATCAGCCGCTGTGGTCACCAACCCTACGCTCACCTCCACTGTGCTCATAACCTGTGTTCCCCCCAGTCCTCACACCCTCATGTTACCCCCAGAGCTCAACCCTCTCCGTGTTCATCGCCCCATTTGCCCCCCTCCACCACTTGCTCCCTTCCGTGATCCCCCGAACCCCCACCGTGGTCACCCCACCCCCTCCGAGACCGAGGTGATGATCACAGGCAGACAGAGTTATCTGAGCAGATGACTCTGCATTCATAGGAGTATAACCAGGGTCAGTGATTCCAGGCCCATTGGTATCCCTCCCTCCCACCCTCCCAGGTTTAATAATAAACTGACAGATTGTGGGATAGAAACTTGATCAGGGTTTCTCAAACTGTGTTTTACCCAAAACATGAGAAGCGAATAATGATCAGAGAATGAATAATTTACCTGAACAGATGACACCGGCATCAGCGGAGTATGACACCCTTGAATAGTGACCCCAGTTCCCTGGACAATCCCTCAGAGCAGACTCGCTCCCTCTGCACCGAACATTATACATCACAACTTGATCTGAGCCTTCCCCAAACTGAGCCACTGGTGCCGACAGCGCTGCTCCACAGCCCAACTCCTTACACACCACAGCCGCTGCCAATATATCCCAACCATAGCCATCAGAGCCATAGCCATAAACTGTACACCACTGTCCTCCATAGTAAACCTCCACTGTCCCGGCACACCGGCTGCCGCCATTCACCAGCCGCACACTCGCACTCCCTGTAAAACATCAAACACAGTGTTTGGAGTCTGTTACCGGTTTGACTTCCAGTCACACAGGATATTACCATACAATGTCCATAGCGCCTCTCACACGGGATAGCGTCCCAGAGCCCTACACAGGCGCAGCATGAATCCGAGCCGCGGGTTTGAGGAGGTGACCTGAGGCACTGTCGAACAGGAAGGTCTTCTGCTTCTGCAAATGGAAAAAGACGGTGACACAGAGTGATAGAGGAAGAGTGTTTCAGGGTTTCGGACTGTCGTGGCCAAATGCGTGGTCACCAATGGTGGAGCAGAGGGCGCGGGGGACAAGGATGTGGTTGGAACCAGACTATTAACGTGGCCTGTGGATTGTGTGATGGTTTCTCTTTCTGTTCCCCAGATGGAGCTGAAGAGAGGCTGAATCTCACCCTCAGCAGCTAATGTTCCCACAGCAGCTTCTGGCTGTGGGACTGCGTCACTGACCTGCACATTCCACCGTCTTTCTCTCCGGAAATATCACTGCACGAGGGAAAAAAAAACACGATCAAAGCAGGAATTACTGATACAGTACCTCACACAGTCAATAATCTGATCTGTTCGGTCTCTCACACAATCAATAATAATAATAATAATCCTTTCATTTGATATAGCGCTTTTCACGTCGGGAGGACGTCCCAAAGCGCTTCACAGAACACACTGTAAAGTGAATTGATTGTATAATTATGGGCGATAGCGGCAGCCAATTGCGCACAGCAATGTCCCACAAAGAGACGTAGATGGAAAATGACCAATTTATCATTGTTTTTGGTTTTTCGAGGGATTATTATTAGGCTCTGTTTGGAATAAGGAAACTTGACCAAGGTTTCGCCCTCTGCCTGGAATTGAACTCAGGTCTCTCGCTTGCAAAGCGAGTGCTCTAACCACTGAGCCACAGGACTCCACAATGGTCAGTCCCTAACGGGCAGCCATTTTTGTCATTACCAAAAAGGACCCTAGTGGGGGAGAGAGCACCAGCACAGACACGAAGGGGAGAGAGAGGACAGGGAGTGGGAATAGAGTAGAGAGCTCCAGTGTTGGGGTGAGTGGTGGGGAAGGGGAGGGTGTGGTGGTGGGGTTGAGCATCAGCACAGACACGATGGGGAGAGCAGGATGATTGGGACTGACCACAAAACTCTTTCAGAGACCCCCACACACACACCAATTGGCTAAACAGACATTTTCTGCGCAGGGATTGCTTGTGTTTGTGTTTCTGATTCGCTTCTCAAAGAATATGAGGTTTGGTGAAGGATCAGAAACACAAACAACTCTGCTCTACTCACTCCACTCTCCTCCTCTCCCTCCCCTGTCCTTTCTTCTCCCCGCTCTAATCTCCTCTCCCCTCTCTCCAGCCTCCTCTCTACTCTCTATACTCTCCTTTTCTACCATCCTTCCTCTCTTTCCGCGCTCTGCTCTCCGCCCTCTCTCCTCCACCCCCCTCTCCTCTCCTATCCATCTCCCGATCCTACCCTCTCTGCTCTCCGCGCCTCTCTCCTCTCCGCCCCCTCTCCTCTCCTCTCTGCTCTCCCCTCTCTCCTCTCCACATCTCTTCTCACCACTCCTTCTCTCATCTCCTTCCCTCTCTGCTCTCCTCTCTACACCCCCCACTCTCCTCTCTACTCCTCCTTCTCTCCTCTGCCCTCTCTCTTCTCCTGCCCTCTCTTCTCTCTGGCACACACTCCTCCCACGCCACTCCCACCTTTCATGCTCTGTTGCCTCTCCTCATATCTCTCCTCTCCTCCCGGCTCTCCTTCCCACTCTCTTCTCTCCGCCACTCTTTCCTCTGCCCTCTCTGATCTCCTCGCCTCTCTTCTCTCCTCCACTCTCCACACTCTACTCGCGTCTCTCTTCCACCCACCCCTCTCCTCCCCTCTCTCCTTCCCTCCCTCCTCTACTATTCTCCACTCCCTCCTCTCCTCCCTTCTCTCATCCCACAGATGTGGGGGATGAAGGACAGTTGACAGTTGAACAGGACACAAGGGTCATGTTTGTAATTGGGTTACAAATAATACTCACCGAAGAGGAAAACAAATAATTGCTTCATCTTGAGGATGAGAAGGAGCTGGTGAGGGTCAAAGGCCGGAGGCTTGTGTCTGGAATGGTGGGGTCTCCGCAGATTTGGAGATAAACCACACGGAGGAGATCTCACGAGCAGCTTTTGCCGCGATACCTTCGCTCTCTGGTCCCCAAATATCCACTTCCCTGTGACACACACACTCTTAGTCTCTCTCGCTCTCTCCACACTGACCACAGGAAAGCAGCACAGTCATTATGTTTTGACCCCTGACATCATCCCCTCCGCCCACTGCTGATCTGCAGTTGTTGGTTGTTGTTAACACTGTCATCTCTGATGGGCGGTGCGGATGGGGTGTCTGACTTGCACAAATAGCGGCAGCTCACCAGCGTCCACAGGGGACAAACTTCGCGGTTTTATTAGTTAAATGAAAGCAGTGACCCCCAACTCTAGGAAGAATATCAAGGCCTTGGAGAAGCTACAGAGGAGATTTCCAAGAGATGATATCAGGGATGTTGGATTGCAGTTATTCGGAGACACAAGAGAAGCTGCGATTGTTCTCCTTAGGGCAGAGAGGTTTGATGGGGGACTTAATAAATTCCATATCAAAATAATGTGGGGTTTTGAAAGAGTAGAAGGAAGAAACTGTTTCCACTGTTTGGTGGGTTGGTAACCAGAGGACAAAAAATTAAGATAATTGGCAAAAGAACCAGAGGGGAAAGCAGACAAGGAGAATTGTTTTTTACACAGGAAGTTTTAAGGACTGGAGCACATTGCCTGAAAGGGTGGTGAAACATATTCAATAACAACTTGCCAAAGGGAATTAGACAGGTACTTGAAAAGGGAATTGAATGGAGACTTGGGGAGACAGGGGATGGATTGAAGTAATTGAAGTGGAAACATTTGCAAGGATATGGGGAATGAATGGGGAAAAGACTGATTGGGCATCTCTTCCAAAGAGCTGGCACAGGCACGATGGACCAAACGGCCTCCTTCTGAGCTGTAGTATTCCAGGATTCTGTAACTTACACACCCCGTGTGGCTCTCGCCAAACTACAACCACCTGGTCCCAACACGCAGTCCGTCACACAGACCAGCCCACAAATATACAGTCAATTCGCTTTACAGTATATCTTGCAAAACGCTTGGAGATGCCTCGAAGATGTGATAAATCGCTGAATCAAATGCAAGGATTATTATGATTATCACCCACAACATCACGCAGTGTGTCCTGGATTCTGGTCTCCCATTAACCTGAGCCTCACCCGGAGCCACTACAATCCCACAGAAACATCCTCACCTCATCACCATCACTGACCCTAAACCTGATCGTGACGCTGACCCTCTCCCTAAGCCCACCCTCACACTCAACCTAAACCTGACTCTAAGACCAAACCCTGACCCTAAACTTGACCCTATCCCTGAGCCTCACCAGACACCCGCTCACCTCAGCTTCTCCTTTATTTGGTGGAAATTAACAAAATGAGAACTAATAAAAACAAACGAACTGTGAGAAGCTGAAAAAGGAACAAGAGATGAGGTTTGAGCTGTGAAAACGGATCTCTGTTGTATCGCTGTGTGTAACCATCCGAGCACTTCCCTCCTCATATCAGCAGGGCATTTCAACACGCTTTACAGGCTGCACGACAGCAGACAAAACATGTTCGTCTGTCTGTTACTGTGTCCGTACGCCTCACTCTGCCTTTCTCTTTCTCTCATTCTCTCTCTCACAAAAAGTGTCTCCCGTACTCTCAGTCTTTCTACACTACATGAGACTCTCAGATAACATGATAAATTGAGGACCAGTTTCTGCCGCGTTCAGGACAGATGTTAAAGTAATCGCTGTTGGGTAAAGAGAAGGGGAGATTCTCCAGGTGTTAAAGTTCAGACCAGCGCAAGTCAAGCTGTACGAGAAGGTTAATATTGGTCATGGTGTCCAACGGCCAAGGCTGATGTGCAGCTGAACCACTGTCATCAACAACAACAACAAGATTACATTTATAGAGCGCCTTTCACATCAGAAGGATGTCCCATGGCCATGGTGCTTAGCTTAGCAGCGTTACCGAATATAAAGCATAAACCACACAAACCTCCCTGCGAAAGGGGTTCAAAAATGTTACTGCAAAAGGAAAAAAATAATTAAACAGAAATACAGAATTTCTTTACCGGAGTTTTGTCTCTATATTTCTCTGGACAGTAAACCCGCTTCGAAACTCCAATCTGCTTTTCAACAATAATAACAATCCCATTATATAACAAAATTATAATCCCTGCATCTGATATAGCGCCTCATAATATCTTCAAGACATTCCGGAGAAATATTGGATGTTTCAGATATTATTCAGAATCAAAGAGTATTTATATTAGAGAACATGAAGGGAGCAAATGAAATGCACAATTATCATCAGAAGAATGAGCAAAACTAGTCTCCAACAGCTTACTTTTCTACCCCATATCCATTCCCTGACCAGGACCACTTTATTCCACCTCCGCCACATTGCTCACTTCCATCCATACCTCACATCCTCAGCTGCCAAACCACTCATCTAAGCCTTCGTCACTTCCCGGCTGGACTATGCCAATGCCCTCCTCGCTGGTCTCCCCAACTCCACAATACACAAACTTCAATTAACACAAAACTCTGCTGCCAGGTTTTGAATAGTTTTGGAATGGAGAAAGTCTAGATCTCAGATATGGAGAAGGAGAGCGCAGTTGAGTGTTTGTGAGAAATAGCAGCGTTTAAAACAAAGCAGTTAAAGAAATGTGAGTTTGTCTTTTTTCTCCAGAAAATACTTTGAGCTGATGATAGACATTCCGTTATTCATCTGTAGATTTGTAGACAAGAGCGATATTTGAACTGTATTGCTCATTACAGGGACTTTTAAGATATTAAATATGTGCTCAGCTCAGCTGTGATATCGCACCTGTAACCATTGTTGAATTAAATATAAGTTTACAGAATTGTTGTAAATAAAGCATTAGGTGTCCACTATTGAGCTGTGTGTGTGTGGAGACTCCTGGTTTGGTGAGGAAGGAGCAGGACAGCTTCTGTTCTGTGAGCCATGTGTGGGACGGGTTGTGACGCTGTATAAGTTAACAGAATGTTGATTATATTAGATTTTGGCCTTACGTAACTTTTGATGTGTATTCATGTCCTACTGACATGAAAGGCTCTGTGCCAATGATTATTCTCCTGCTTGTTGGGGAGGGGGAGGAGGGTATTGATGGGAGTTCAATGGCTCCAAGTTATTGATCTGCTTCTATATTGCCACTTTTGACCCTCCACACAAAGCCGTAGTCTCACCCTTTGTATCTCTCTCGCTCCCACACAGTGTGTCCATCACATTCAGTTTCTCTCTGACACACGATCTCTCACACTGTCTCTCAGACACTATGTCTCCCACACACTCTCTCACAAACTCTCTCACACACACTGTGTCTCTCACACTCTGTCTCTCTCACAGTCCCAATCTCACTCTCCCTTTGTATTTCTCACTCTCACTCGCTCTCTCTCGCTCTTTCTCACCCTATTTGTCCCTCACACTGTAGGTACGTCTTAGAAACTGTGTCTCTCACAATCTTAGTCTCTCTCTCTCCCTCTGTCTATATTAGGCTCTAAGATGAGATAATAAATTGAAGTCCAGTTTTTGCAGTGTTGAGGACAGATCTTAAAGATCCTGCGACACTATTGGGAAAAGAGAAGGACATTTCTCCAGGTTTAAGAGTCCAGACCTGATCAATTCAAACCGTATGAAAGGGTTAATATTGGACCTGGTGCCAAAGAGCAAAGGCTGATGTGTAGGTGAACCACTGTTGTGGTTTTAAGTTTGCAGCTTTACCGGATATGAAGCACAAACCACACAAAACTCACTGCAAAAATGGCTCAAAAATTTAACTGCAACAGGAAGATAAGCAACGAAATCCAACCGCAGACCTTCTGGAGAGGAAATTTGCCGTTACATTTCTCTGGACAGAAACCCACTTTGAATCTCCAATCTGCTTTTTAACAACAATAATAATCCTTAGCTTTTATACAGCGCCTTATCACGTCTTTTAGATGTCACAAAGCGCATCAGGATACACTGTATAATGCAGTGACTGTATGTTTTATTGGCGAAACGCGGCATTGTTATTTTACATGAATATTTCTGTGGGACGTCGTTTTGTGTGTGTGTTTGTCCAGCCTGGCTCAGTGTGTGTGTGTGTGTGTGTGTCCAGCCTGGCTCAGTGTGTGTGTGTGTGTCCAGCCTGTCTGTGTGTATATTTGTGTGTGTGCCCAGCCTGACTCCTTGTGTGTGCATGTGTCCAGCCTTCTCAGTGTATGTGTCTCCAGCCTTTCTGTGTGTGTGTGTGTGTGTGTTTGTGTGTGTGTACAGCGTGACTGTGTGTATGTTTGTGTGTGTGTCCAGCCTGGCTGTCTGTGTGTTTGTGTGTGTGTCCAGCCTGACTCTGTGTGATGTGTGTGTGTGTGTGTGTCCAGTCTGACTCTGTGCGTGTGTGTGTGAGTGTGTGTGTCCATCCTGGTTGTGTGTGTTTGTGTGTGTTTCCAGCCTGGGTTAGTGTGTGTTTGTGTGTGTGTGTGTGTGTGTGTGTCCAGCCTTGCTCAGTGTGTGTGTCCAGCCTGGCTCAATTTGTGTGTGTGTGCCCAGGCTGTCTGTGTGTATATTTGTGTCTGTTTGTGTCCAGCCTGACTCGGTGTGTGTGTGTGTCCAGCCTGGCTGTGTGTGTGTGTGTGTGTGTCCAGCCTGGTTGTGTGTGTGTGTGTCTGTGTGTCAAGCCTGACTGTGTGTGTGTGTGTGTGTGTCCAGCCTGGTTGTGTGTGTGTGTGTGTGTCCAGCGTGGCTCAATGTGTGTGTCCAACCTGACTCTGTGTGTGTTTGTGTGCATGTGCCCGGCCTGGCTCCTTGTGGATACACGCACGCACACATACACACAAACACTGAGCAGGGCTGGACACACACACTGAGCCGGGCTGGACACATGCACACAAACACACACCGAGTCAGGCTGGATAAACACACAAATATACACACAGACAGGCTGGACGCACACACACATACACTGAGCCAGGCTGGACACACACACGCACACTGAACCAGGCTGGACACACACACACACACACACACACTGAGCCAGGCTGGACACACACACACACATACACTGAGCCAGGCTGAACACAGGGACACACATACACTGATCCAGGCTGGACACACACACACACACATGCACTGAGCCAGGCTGAACACACGCAAACACAAACACAGCCAGGCTGGACACACCTATACACACACACACACAATCAGGCTAAACACACACAAACACTGAGCCAAGTAGGACACACACAAACACACACACAGCCAGGTGGACACACACACACACACACACAAACACACACACAGCCATGCTGGACACACACACAAACACACACACACTCACACACACACAGAAAGGCTGGACATACAATCACTGAGAAGGCTG